TGTATATATATATATATATATATATACTAGAAGTGCCTTTCTTAAGAAAAGTCCAGTGGAAAAGCTGCACCAAAGTCAGCTGCAACAGTACTGCTGCAGTTTGATGCTGACAGGGCTGGAAACTGGTTCAGAAGGATAAAGTACGTGTACATGTTAACCTGGAAACAATTCTGAGAACCCCAGCTTTTCTCTAAATACACAAATTTACATTAAGTCTGCTTTGGCTAAGAGACGAGGCTGTGATGACATTCTGAAGTCATTTCCCTATTTCGCCTGTGCGTTTCATGGTGGTTGTCTTTAGGTGCATCTGCTTCTGAGCTGGTGTTGCAGTGTACTCCAGAGGGCATCAGACTGCAGTGCTACATGAACTACTATACAGAGGAGATGAAAACCATCTGGAAGCACAAGTACAGTCGTGAATTTAAATATTTTAGATTATTCAAATATCTCTTTTTAGTTTATCATTTTAAGGTTTAGCTATTTTACTTTTTGAGATATTTTGTTTTACTGTTTATATGGAACAAAAGTTCATTATTCACAGACACTTATAGGCAGTCTGTGAGCTTACCCAGGCTGCTGCATGTGAGACAGCATTGAATCATAACATCTTTTGAAACAAATTTTCTATGAAACACTTCAAACACAGATGTTTTGAGTAGTTCTGTGGGTGGCTCAGTTAGCAAAAGGAGATGTCATGCAAATGTGTCACTTGTGGGGTTTGTTTGTGTCCAACTTTGATCAGGAGTGTTTAATATTGTAGAGAAGCACTGCTAGTTTTTAAAGGGGTGTAAAAGCACACAGACATTATGCCTTAGAGTCACTATATCTCACATTTGAAAGCAGCCTACGAGATGTCTGTGTTTGTTTTTTCACTCTGTATGAATTAATAATGAAGTTTTGAGATCCATGATGTAAACCCGCAGGGAGAGTAAGATTGCCTCCTCTGAGAAGATGAGGATTGGCGGTACAGCTGAGATGGCCTGGATGCAGATCTGCGATCCATCCGATAAGGAGAAGGGTCATTACTCCATGGAGATCTCAGATGGCGTCAAGACCCACACCCGGACTTTTGACCTCTCTGGACAAGGTAAAAACCTCCATCTGTGCCACCATTTGTTTTCATTACAGTTTTTCTCTTTTGCTGTGATTGTCTTATTTATTTGTCTATTTATTTTGGAGTTTCTAAGATGTGAAACCTTTTGTCTTTGAAAAATTGACTCCATTGTAATCATTTGTTTTGTAGCATATACAGATGCCTATGAGGAGTACCTAAGACTTAAGTAAGTGTTTTGATGTTACAAGTTTGTAGACATGCGGTTTTAATCATGTCAAATTTTAATCAAATCGAATTTCCTCTTCGTCTTTTAGGGCGGCTGCATTCGCTGAGAAGAGTGAGTATTTCACAACTTGTATTGAGACAGTTTGAGAGAGATTCCTCATGTATCTTTCAATAAAGGTACATTGGTTAATTATTTTTTAAGCTGTTTATACTATGTGCACATCTTACAAGGACAAAAAAATTGATAATCACAAGTGCCCTCGACAGCTCTTTAAGCATTCTGAAAATTTTCACAGGAATTTGTGGGCAAGGTATTTTATTTTAAAGGCAAAGTAGAAATGAATGTCTTACTCATTCTTCCTCTTCCTCCCCCTGAACATCTCAGACTTGATCTACTAGTGCACAATAACAACACTACACAATAAATGTAAAAAGACAGATTGCTGTAGTTTTAAGATCTTTGATTTCTAAGTCTGGGAGTGAAAAGTGACTTTTTCTTTTTCTGTTCAGACCGTGGTAGAGTGGTTGGTGGTCTACCTGATGTGGTCACCATTATGGAGGAGAAGGTAAACATTTTCCAAACTCGGCAATCAACGTCTCTTTTCACAGAGGGAGAAAAGACACGTTGTGGAAGATGATGCTTGAGTAATGATTAAATGCAGAGTGGTGGATAAACACAGAGAGTGAAAAGAGGGGTGGGCAAGTTCAGGCCTCGAGGGCCGGTGTCCTGCAGGTTTTAGATCTCACACCTGAATCACATGATTAGTTCTTTACCTGGAGAACTTCAGGACATGTTGAGGAGCTAATTTAGCCATTTGAATCAGCTGTGTTGGTTCAAGGACACATCTAAAACCTGCAGGGACACCAGCCCTGGAGGCCTGGAGTTGCCCACCCCTGTGTTACACCATAGTCTGAGATGTACTGCTGCGTACAGTATTGATAACAGTATTGACAAAACACTTCTTTGGATGGCTTTTGTTCAGATGTCATGCCTCAATTCATATTTAGTCTGCAGTTTAAGGTTCATTCTAAAAATATTTAAAAAGAAATGCCAACTTCAACTTCAAATTGTGGGTCAGAGTTAATAATAAATAAATACTATAATGTCTGACCTCATTATGTCAAGTGATTACAACAATTTTCATTAGTTTAATAAACACATGAATAAATAAATCTTTGTGTAAGAATGTAACAAACCTAAAATATGAATCGTATTCTGTGAATATATTTTGATTTGAGTTGACTGTTGGTCCTTTCTAGTCCCTGAGCCTCACCTGCACCGTGTGGGGCGAGCCTACTCCTGAGGTCACCTGGTTCAAGAACGAGCAGGAAGTCGCTTCCACTGAGCACACCAGGGTCATGTTTGACGGTGGCAAGTTTGCCAGCCTCGTCATTAACAAAGTCACCCCCGAAGACTCCGGAAAGTACAGCATCAATGTACGGAACAAGTATGGTGGTGAGTTTGTGGAAATCACTGTCAGCGTCTACAGGCACGGAGAGAAGATCCCTGAGCCCAAACTGGGGCAGGCCAAAGCAGCCGCCACCACGCCTGTGCTGCCAAAGTCCCCAGCTCCCCCTTCCAAGACCCCAACCCCCACCCCTTCTAAAACCCAGACCCCAGCACCATCCATGAAGAGCCCAACTCCAGCCTCCACCCCAATCTCCAAGTCTCCAACCCCTACCCCGAAGTCTCCTACTCCACCACGCAGTGTTAAGTCTCCAACCCCACCCAGATTCATGAAGTCTCCAACTCCACCCAGGAAGTAGAATGTGGGGGTTAATGTTCGCTGTTAGCAACACTGATTTATAAGCATGAGTGTGAAACAATGAGCTCTTACTTTAAAGTTTATTTAGATTTAGATAACGTCAAAGTCCCACTTCAAAAACTGCTGCTTACTCTGGACTACACCTCACAGTCATGTATGGGCCATCATATGTCTTTAAAGTGGTTCCTTTTAACACAAGAAAAACACTGAGAAACATAAAATGTCCGTGTATATTCATTACAAAGTTTTAAAAGCTGCACCTTCCACTATGCAATGTCAGTGAAATGCCTGCAACAAATTGTGGATGTCAAAGGATATTTATGCTCTATTACAACTCTATTAGTGACACAAAAAAGCAAGTCAGTGAACTGTCTTACAAAGAGATAAGCAGAGTTTTAGAGGACAAAATTAAAGAAATTAGTAAATATTTTAGGTTTAAGCTCCAGTTTCAGTGCTTTAATCTTAATCTTCTCTGTTACTGTGTTTCCCTACATTTAGCACTTATGTCAAAGAGTGTGATATTATACAAAACAAAGCAAATAATATCAAAACCTACAAAAATAAGATCAAGGTGTAATACACCAGTATCAAAGTGGATGAGCTGGGAGTCAGCAGGTACAGATGTCGGGTAATGTTAGTACCTGGGTGAAAATGTGCAAATACCAGGTTACTGTGTTTGTGCTCCAGCCATTCTTCTCCCAGGGTTAGTTTGTCTGTGAACAAAAACATTCACAGCCCTTGTCTCTGTACCTGAGAGGCTCTTCTGTCTGTGACACATTATGTCTTCCTCCCCAGTGCTTTGTGATGGCAATAAACTTTACTTCTCAACCTACTTTTGTTGTCTTTGTCAGTAGTCACTGCTACACCTCACCCTAGAAGAGGTAACTCAAATCCTTCGGCTACAGTTAATGAAGCCAAAAGTAAAAATGTGCACTTGTAGCCAGACTCCAAGGGACTGCATGACAACTTGCGAGACAAGCCAACCTGCCTCTGAAAGCCAGGTGAGCTGAGGTGGGTGGGGTTTGTTACTGTAGCTGTCAGCCGAGCAAACAGAGCAGGTACAACAGGCTATTCGTTTGTACAGAGTTCGCGAATCCACACCTTTAGCACTTACCGGCTTATGCTGGAGAGAGTACCGACACCAGGACCGACAGAAGGTTTTAACTTTTTAAGCTGGTTTAAAGTTTCTCGCCTCTGATTAATCAGGAAGACCAGGATTCTTTTTGGCCAGTTATGAAGTAAGTCTCTTTGTATATGTTGCTGAAAGTGTGTTGAATTCCTGACAATTTACAGTAGTTACTGAAGAAGTAAGCACATGCCTCATATTGTTTATGTGTTTGTGCTGAACCACATGTACCTTTTTGGTTTCCTAAGAGCTTAGAGGAGAAACATTTCTCGTATGACACCATGGTAATAAAATTATCTGCATGTCTAAGTTTCTTTAAGACAACAACTAAATGCACTGAAAATAAAATAGTCTTACATTTTTCTGTGATTGGCTGGAAAAGTTTGTTCCAAAGCTCTGTAGTGTTATGTAAAAATTGTATGTTGACAGTTGTCTCATGTTTGTCCTGTTCATGTTTAATGATTAGTTAAAGATTACATATTTACAACTCAGCAATGCAGATAAAAATGTTAAAGTCATACACATAATATTTTTTTTCCTAATTATCTCTTTTTTGACATTCAGCTCTAAAATGCAAGTTTAACTCAGTGAACCCTGTAACAGCATAGTGTGTGTCACGTTTAAGGTAAAGAAGAAGTCTGCTGCACACAGAGACTCAGAGGGGTTCTCGCATCCATGGAGTCCAATCTGTCATGCCCGTCTTCAGTTGAAGAGGACTGTTCAGATTACATTCAGCCGCACTATAAAGAATCCTATCGTCTAGCCATTTATGCCCTACTATGTGGCGGCAAAGAAGCCTATGAAGAGTTCCTTCGAGCTGAGCAGATCAACCACTTCCTTTCAGAGGAAGAGACTGTGTTCATTTTGGAAAATGCAGAGTTACCGGTTGTGGAAGATGATTCAGAGGGAAGACGCAGCACAGACGAGGTCAGACCCTCCACCTATTTCCCAATTGAGTCGGAAGAGGAGGTGCCAGACTTGGATTTGGGCTGGCCAGGGGTTGCGCTGGAGGGTGTAGAGACCAGCATTAGCCTGCTGTTTCACCCACCCAGACAGAACACACCAACAATTAAAGAGGTGGTTCGGAAGCAGATTCAGGCTGCGCAGAAGGTGAGGCCTCAGCACTGCGATATAAACAAAAGAAATGCTCCTGGGCCAGAGCCAGAAAATAACGCCTCATCTATCAGGTGGAGGAATCAACAAGGACAATAGTTTATCAATAGTACAAATTCCTAGTGAAAGGTGTAGTTTTGCGTAGGCATATAAACACCTCTGCATAGTTCTCTGCATACACAGGAGACTGCAGGGAAGGGCTAAACATACATTAACCCACACAATCAGCTGACTACACCAGTTCAAATGTTTGAAGCAGTTAACTACTATGGCAACTGAACTTTTGTTATCATGAAAATGTACACGATGGAAGTCACTCATTACTGTGCAGCTTTTTGCTTTGTGACGTGTGAGGCAGGCGAGTGGCCAGTCTGAATTCATGTAGGCTGCACTAACTTTGGCAGGTTTCAGAGAAAAAGTATTTAGCAATTCAACATTCACAGAAACATTGTTGCAGCAATGTTCTTTAAAGCTGTAGCTATCATGAAGCGGTAACAGTGATGTCAACTTGGTGGAAATTTGTATTTATGCTTAAAATGCATTTCATGACTAGAAATATTAGTAATATTATATTAGAGCAGCAAGTCACTGCAGTTTTCCATTTCCTATTTTTTCCCCAGGAACCTGCTTCATGAAGCAAATTCATCTTGTACTTCCTGTGCAGTTATCTCCTGTAGAAAGAGTAGAAAATGAGTGCTGTTGCACTGCTTTCGCAATTTGTTGCTGTATGTTTAATCTAGTCTTCACATCGCTGTCTTTTAATGAGATGATCTTGTAGGATCCCATGGAGGTCACAAACAGACACGCTGTTTTTTGCTTTTTTACCTCACACTTCCTGGAATTTTCCTTTTTATTTAAATCTATAATATTAAACTTAAGGATTACCTTTAAGTCATTTAAAAAGTGCTTATTATAATTAATTTAGAAATAAGTAAATATAGTAATGAGTAAAGAGAAGAGCTTTTTTCTGTGCACATGTATGCAGTGTAGGAAAAACTGCTCCAATAAAGACTGCAAACATCTGAAGATTTTACTGAATCACAGGATCTACTAAACAAAAATGATGAGATACAACAGTAAGGATACTGTTGCTTTCAAATTAGTTAAAAGATCAGTCAAATGAGATGGAAAAAGTATCACTGTGAAACATTAACATTAATTCTTGTAGTCAACATTGTAGCAAAATACCACAGTAGGATCAGATAGCTATGGCTGGATTGGTTGGCCTTAAACTGATTACAGAAAAACTAATTAAACCAACTGCAAACCAACAATTGAACAGACCACTCTTTAAAAAATAGTTTTCCTGTGATCAAGTACATGTTTAAATACTTGTTTAAATTCATATGAAAGCACTGATATATAAAATGCTGACACAAAAAATAAATCATTATACTTGCCGTAACTGTGAAAGTGACCTTTTTTGTTCTACCACATAATAACTGGCAGAACAAATTTAGATGCTACACATTAAAGGTGAAATCTAACTAATTTCAAAATAAAAGTACCTATACATAAATACATATCATGAAATGACGTAGGCAACAGTTATGTTGAAACAGGTAAAACTTTGTCTGATATTTGATTTTAAAAAAATCTGTCTTTCCTCTTTAGCAAACCACTTGTCTAATTTACAGAATTCATAACAACAAAAAATATCACAAGCAAAGGTGCTCAGTAAATCACAATCTAAAAAGTGAGTCTGCTCACGAAGCTTTACTCATTCACGGTCACCTGACAAAGAAAGTACACTTGCTTTTAATTCTAATTCTTTGGGCTTGTTGTCTTCTTACTGTTAAACATTTGGTCATGTCAGTGAGATACAAACTATATAGTTTCCCCTTTTGCCACAAAATCATCACCTTTCCTGCTTGACAGCTGGTATGAGGTGTCTGGTTTTCACCAAATGTGTGATCCTGTGTATTATGTCCAAACATCTTCACTTTGGTCTTGTCTGTCCAGTGGACATTGTTCCCGAAGTCTTTTGGTTTGTTCAGATGCAACCTTGCAAACTTAAACTATGCTGCCATGTGCTTATTGGAGAGAAGAGGTTTCCTCCTGGATCCTCTCAAACATTTTGTGTTTATTTAGTCTTTTTCTAACTGTACTATTATGAAGTTTGAAGTTTCTCTGAGCATTAAACAGTCTTACTTAAATTAAATTTGCTAGGATGTGCACTACAACACTGGCGACTTTTTTCCACTTGAATACTGTTTCTGACTGTATAGTGATGAAATTCCAGTTGTTTAGAAATGCTTCATAACCCACCCAGATTGATGGGGAGCAACAGTTGTTTTTGTAAGATCATTGCTGATGTCTTTCCTCCCCGGGATTGTGTTCTCACCCCCTCAATGCGCCAAAACAGCAAACTGTTAAAACATCTGCTGTTATAGAGGTACTCACATTTGCTGATGACCTTATAGTAACAGAACCTGTTAATTATCCTCCACATTTCTATGGAAGCAAAAAGGATGTAAAACAAATTAGTCCGCATTCTTATACTTTAGATACTGCTTCTGCATTGTAGCTTAATTTTTGTTAAATAAATAATGAAACTGTGCAAAATGTCACAGATTAACCAACACGAGGTTGCATTTGCCTAATTCTAAGACCTGCTAAGGACCAGATGATTTTTTTTATTATGGCCCAGTACATAAACTCTAAAAATAAAAAATTTTTTTTCACATAACTGCATATATACAGTTGGCAGTTACTTCTCTTTGCATGCATCAGAAGTAATGACATTATTTGTGTTGCATAAAAGATTATTTCAAGTTAAGAAGGTGTTTTGCACAATGATACAGTTAATTTTGTGTGGAAAGTCATCTCTACTATACAAGTCCTGATGTTGACTACTCATACATTTTTTGACTTAATAATTTGTATTTTCTCAAAATTGAAAACATTTCCACGTCTAATGTGCTTCCAGCTTATTGCCATTGTAATGGATGTCTTCACTGATGGCGACATTTTCAAAGAACTCATCAATGCGACACAGAGGGGAGTGGTGGTCTACATCCTTCTGGATGATTCCCATGTCAAGAGCTTCCTCAAAATGGCACACGACATGGAGATTAATATTCAAGAGCTCAAGGTGAGAAACACGGCACCTTGAAATACAAGGTTTAAAGGGCGACAGTATCAGATGAGTATGTTTTATCACCATGCTGAGATATTATTGTACTTGTTGAGGCCATGAACTGCAAAAAATAAAAATCATCAGGAAAAAAAAAGTATTACCTTCCACTAGACCTATGTGATTATCTGGATTTCACAGTGGAGACACAACAGGCCTATTCTTATGTTTTCCACTTTTCCTGATATAAAAAGATATAAAAACATGCTCTTCTGCACTTCTTGCCAAATGTAATTTTCCTGTTCCCGTGCATAGTATACACGTAAGCATTTTAAACAATGTTTATCTTGCAAAATATTTGAAAACTGTCAACTCCATTGTGTGGTGGCTTTAGTAGCACAGTGGCTGATAGTGAACAACAGCCACATACCAAACTAAGACAGGTAGAGTCATCTTAGAGCTGGGCATTTATTTAACCCTTGGCGCTCTAAGTCATAGTCAGTTCGGCAGTGAGTGTG